ATTACCATTCACTTCACCTATAATATTTTGTCTAAGATATTGAAATTATATTTAGTCTAAAAGTTAGAAACAGGTGACGTACGTATGTATTAAATGACTTCAATCAAAGTGAAATGAATAATTTTGATTACGATTATCCACACATAACACGTCCATAGAGATTTATATTGTACATTGTAAGTTGTCTTAAATACCACAGCACACAATACATACAAGTGAAATGATGGTTCGATTGATTTTTTTATCCATATATAACAAGTTGCAAGTGTTTAATTTTTATTCAAGATGAGAGTATATAAACAATTCCAAACAAAACCCAAGTTAACGGAATAGCGTAAAAGAATATTGCATAATCTTTTGAAGAGAATGTTAGGCAGGAGTTGATTATTGATCAGTCTAAATAATTCAACCGGAATCAAATCTTCATATATTCATATGGCACTCAACCAAGATGTTCTTAAATGGGCAAAACTTAATCATATTGGTTTGAATAAAATGTATATATCTAGCAACAATACTATGAAACTATACTTTGTCTGTACTATTCAGTAAATACATTATCTTAAATAAACACATCAAAAAGTATAGCCCTTGTGAGTATCGTATATAGCACTTCGCCAACCCTGTAAATGGTGAAACTTTTTCTGTTGACAAAGAATATATAAACAGAAATGATTACATTTTGTGTATATCAAATGTTGTGTTTGGTTTTGTTTTTTTTTTATAAAACTAAAACTAAAAAGTAACATCCTGGGCCGGATTTTTTAGGAGCAGTTCACATTATGAAGCTACATACAGGTTTAACTCATAATAGATATAAGAAGATGTGGTATGAGTGCCAATGAGACAACTCTCCATCCATAAACATTTTTTTCTTTAAATATCCTGTACCAAGTCAGGAAAATGGCCATTGTTATATTATAGTTCGTTTCTGTGTGTGTTACATTTTAATGTTGTGTTTTTGTTGTGTCGTTGTTCTCCTCTTATATTTGATGCGTTTCCCTCAGTTTTAGTTTGTAACCCGGATTTGTTTTTATCTCTATCGATTTATGAGTTTCGAACAGCGGTATACTACTGTTGCCTTTATTTAATCTTAGTCCCCCACCCCCACCTTCTATTTCTAAATCCTGGATCCGCATTTGATAGCCGCTTCGGAGATGAATTCGTGCAAACAATCAGGAAAAAAATATAAATAGTCCATTAGAATTAGTTTATTCCTTTTAGTCATAATTTTATAAAATTTTAGTTTTCAAAAATAGATAAGGTGTTTGAAACATATACAATGTACGTCATCGTCATAAACAAAATAAAACAAAACAAATCCATGCATATGGGAAGTTAGTTAAGATAACAGGAGATGCCAAAATACTGTAAATTCAGAGATGTCCGTGTTTTATCATCATTGTGATTAATATAAAAATAGACAGCGGTGCTGAACACAATAAATACGATGATTTAATTTTGATTTCATTTTTGCGATCTACTTTAAAATTATACCTATTTAATGACTAGAGATCATCCAACATGCCCACTATAACTAGAAACATAGAAGTTTTTACACTAACAAATATAGAGTTACTGCTATTTGACTGTTCTCATCATACTATATAAAGTTGTCACCAAGTTTGGGCTTGAATATGCAGATTTACAGGGTGGTCCACATACATGACATATAAACACTAATTTTTTGCAATTACCGAAAACTGACTTTGGTCAAAAGCTGTCAATACATTTTCCCAGTTTGTATCATGTAAAAACACATTTATCACACCTTGTGTGTGTGCTGTTGTAACAAATTACTCGACCTACAGCGTTTAAACGGATATTGTTGTGAATTTAACCAGGTAAATCATCCAGTAAATTGTTAATAAGTGAACGTGGTCATACATAAAATTGTTGCAATTGAAACACGACTTCTAAATATTTTTTTTTGTAGAAAAAATAGAGATAGAGAAAAATGAATAAATAAAACTGAAAATAGCAATCACGATCAGATTTCCATGATATCTGTATTTGGAACGGTTGAAAAAAAAGGATATTACAAGAAGCTAAACTTTCTGCTATTTTTGCAAAACATGCTTTATCAAGATTTTGAAGCTGATCATGGTCAAGTACGGACTCTGTCGGTGTCAAAATACCTTGGAACCCTTTATGAACCTTGCCATTGTGGAAAATACAATACACTTTTCTTAGACATTGGTTTGTTGTTTCAATTATTTATACAGATACATAAATCATGGAAATTATCTACACTTTTTGAACGTTTAGCGTATAACATTGGCTGTTATATTTAAGTCTCTTTTTTGTTTAAAATAATGTTATTTTTGTTTTTAATACTGCCTATAGGTTGAATTAAGTAAATAGAGCTGATTCACAAACCATGCCTCTTTTGGTGAGATATTTAAAATTCATAGATATTTTGTAATGTTTACCTCCTATTCTTGGAATATGACCAGTATACATGCAGTTTGATAGCGGTTAACTTGAAATCTCTAGAAGGCACAAGTAGAAGGAGGAGTAAGACAGAATTTTAGTGGAAGTTTAAACTCATAGAGTTCGAGGCATATTCACGTTGAAAATATGCTGCACAACCCTATGTTTTACCGTCACCAACTATAGTAGTGCACGTAATCTTTCAATTTCGGGATATAATTTTTTTTACGAAACTTCATAGTAAAAGTGCCACACTTTTCTCTATAAAAGGAGTTCCTAAGGGAAGTTGCATTGTCAATATTACCAAAATTGCAATATATGAGGGCTGGCTGATGATTACAATGCAATGGATCTTTTTAAGGACACTTTGTATTAACATGTTAAGATTATGTTTCAGGCATAGATTTCTTTAGCTTTATTTGGAAAACTTTAATTGGATTTGAGGTTTTAATGCTCTTCATATTTGTGTTTGATTTGGTCTTCCCACTGTATTGATTCGAGAATCACTTATGAGTCTTCTGTAGACAAAACGCGCGCGTCTATTCTTCAAAATTATAAGACTGGTGTCATGAATGAGTTTTTGCACATCAACATTAATATTAATATCATGATACAATGTTCGTTTGAATCTACAATTGTATGTCACAATCACTTGTCGTCTTCATGGGTATATCCACCAGTTAAATGAAATATCCTGTAATTTCTTAAACAAATAATCATGTGTCATTTATCAAGATTCAGTATCTCGCAATTAGATAAAAGTATTATGACTTATAAAATAAGTAGTTTTCCACACTTGCTCATCTTTTTATTCTGGTGTTATGGGCGTCCATACTTGATATACACACAACTGAACTTGTACACTAGAAGTTGATGTTGATAACTAATTTAGTAAGATTGAGTATCCCATAAGTAACAAATAATTAAGATATCAAATTATAAGATTTAGTTTGATTGCCAATATATCTAACAGAGTCCTAATGATGTGGATTTTAACGATTATAGGTCAACGTCCATGTCACAACAATGAGTAAAACCAATACCGTATATTCAGCTACATAATTACATGTATACCAATTCATAACCAAAACAACAAACGGTAATAAATATAACAGACACCAACCAACGACAATCACTGAAGTACAGGCATCTTAGGAAAGTCACATATATAATGTGGTGGTGTTCAACAGGTTTCTGAGCCTTCAACCCTCTTTTTAACCAGAAACAATGGTGTAACAGTTCAACATATGAACAAGCACGGTCGTTTGTTCTAGATTAACATCTTATGACTTCAACTACAGAAAATATGACCAACACTGCCATACACTGTAAATGCTTATTATATACATTCAGGATTACATACATGTGATATTTCTTATATAAAATGTATGGTTCTGTAGATTGTAAACATTTTAAAATTTTCGAAATTCTCAGGAGTTTCTTCCCCATGAATAGATAAGCTTTGTTGAAGGCCGTACGGTGACCTTTAGTTGTTAATGTCTGTGTCATTGGTCTCTTGTGGAGAATTGTCTCATTGGCAATCATGTCACATCTTCTTTTTTTTTTATATTAGCTGTATTTGGCACTTTCGGAATTTTGGGTTCTCAATGCTCTTCAACTGCGAACTTTATGCTGTCTTTTTAACTTTTTTTATAAGAGCGTCACTAATGAGTCTTTTTTAGACGAAACACGCGTCTGGCGTGTAAAATTTTAAAGTTAGCTCTATTATAATTTTATCTACAACCAGTGGGTTGATGCCACTGCTGTAGGAATTTTTTTCCCCGATGGAATAATCAATAAAGTAGCCAGCACTTCTGTGTTGACATGGTTTATTATTGATATGGTCATAACTATGAAATAACTGTTTACAAAAATTAAGGATTGTCTACCTCAGGAATGTATGACTTTACTGTAATTGGCAAAATCTTTCTGAATTGTGAGTCTTCTATGGTCTTCAACTTCATCCATTTATCACCTTTTTAACATTTCTAATCAGAGCGTCACTGACGAGTCTTTTGTAGACGAAACGCTCGTCTGGCGTGCAAAATTTTAATCCTGGTATCTATGATGAATTTATCTATAACAACTGGGTCGATGCCATTGCCGGTAGGGGTTTTTCTCACAGAAGATTTCACCAGGCCAGTAAACAACACTTCATTATTTACATGAGTTACGTGTATCATTGATATCGCTATAATTATAAACTAACTGTTCACAAAACTATAACATTTTGAAATGCTAAGAACTTCCTATTCCAAGAACAGATTATTTTAGCTGCATTTTGGAAAACCTTTCTAAAAGTTGGGTACTCAATGCTCGTCAACTTTGTATTTGTGTTGCCCTTTGTAACTTGTTTTATTCGAGAGTCACTAATGAGTGTTTTGTAGACGAAACGCTCGTCTGGCGTGCAAAATTTCAATCCTTGTCATTTGCTGGTTTCTATGATGAGCTTATTGCACACAATCATGTTTTTTTTCAGACTGTTTACAACGTATGTACGCTTAATCAATATATTTTGTTTATGATCAAAATTTGCTAGGTTTATCTCAGTAAATGAAATACTGTCATTTTAAAGAAAAAATAAGATTTATTTAATAAATAATGAGGAAACAGCATTTACAAGTTCTCTAGAAAAAGTATTTAATATTAGACATCATAGATAAGTATGTTCTTTTTCATTCATAATGTATGATAAAAATGTACGTCAATTTGTTCTGAATGACATATTTTCAACCAAGAAAGATAACTCAATTTGTTTAACTACTGTAAAAAAAAGACGGTAATACATTAGAATGGTTAGGTTTCAGTAATCATGCATGAATATATTAGTGAGATCTGAGAAAAAAAAAACAACACTCACTTGTAAGTTTCAATTGTTTTTCTAGATTTACTTTTAATAGTTTTAAAAAATGGAATTAATTTAAAGTTTTTTAACAATATAATGTCGGCATTTCTTGATTCAAAATAATGTTTTGTTTATTAAAAACAAATAATAAACATATAATACCTCATTAAGGTTTAGTATGTACAATGGGAATGGTGGCTACATATGGATTTGGATTCAATTTAGAATTATAATGTAACACATGAATAAACATATAATACCACGTCCATTTGTGGTAACAACTTTCATTCAAGTTAATTACTCTATTATGATTGTGCGGTGAATACCTAATAGAAAATAAAACTGTTTTGTCTCACAGCTTAACCAGTTTAATTAGTTAAGTTGTACATGTAATTGAATGTCACTTAAGCATTTCTTATCAATACACATGCGTTCCGTATCTTGCAGTGGACAGTATTTTTCGCTTTTATCACAATTGTGGAGCGTGTACACAATTCCATATAAAAGAGTGGTAAAAGCAGAATCTTCATGTATCAGCGACCAATGCTCCTACTTGGTTTATATATGAAAATTTAAAAAAAATGTGGTATTAACACCAATGAGATAGCTATATACATACGCATACACATAAATATTATGTTATTTGATATCTGAAATTAATATTTTCCCCTCTTGAAATCCAAGTGCCAAAAATCTTGCATACTCCTAGACAGTTTTGTTTTTCGTTTATTCGTGTTAATGTAATTGTATTTTTTTCTTACATATTGATAGAAATTAGATTTTTTATTAGCCTGCATATAATTGATAACATTCAATATTTCAATCTCACACTTAATACACTCTTTTGTTTTGAAGTCATTCGTTTTTATCTAGTTTCTTCATCGGTTCCTTTCTAGGAAATATTAAATAATTCAAACGAGTCGTATATGTGTCATGAAGTATATGCATATACGACAAGATCCACAAAAGGTACTGATGTGTTCTTTTAATTAATGGCTTACCTTTAAGAAAGAAATGATTGCGATTCCATGACTCTCTTTGTATTTGATTCTACATTACACAACTTGGATGGTGTATTATTTATGCATTTGAAAAAAAAAGATATGCTGTGATTGTTTTACATGTTTCAGGTGGGCCATTTTATTTGAGATCCATTATACCACTGTACGGTGATACAATTTATTTCTTCGTTCTGATTGATTTAAAATGATCTTTCTGGTTATAATGTTTCCATATCAAATAGTGTTTTGCTCATCCTTACCTTCCACATCACTATCTTCAGATGTACCTCCCAAAGAAATAGTGTCATTATCGGTTTGGCCACGCTGTTTATTCATTTGAGTAAAAATTTCATAAAAAGCTGTTAAGCCATAATTCTTTACCATTTTGCATTATATTTATAGCCACTTTTCGATATAAACAAGAATATGTGGAATTATTGTCAATAAGACAACTATCGATAATTCACCAGACACCACAGGACGAACGTTTTATTTCGTTTACATATTTGATAAATGTTTAAATGATTTCGTTGCTACAAAAGACAGTTAAATTAAACAATGGAAATGAACTTTCAACTATCAATTAAAACAAAACAAATTCTAATTAGAAAAAAAAAATCAAATTATTAAGGAGTATATCTTATGACTGACACCGGTATATCTAAAAAGAAAACAAAGAAATATTAAGTTACAAAATCACGAAAATATTTATCATTTTATCTGAAGCATCATACAAATTAAAATAAGATTATCACAATTTTAATCATGGTTTGCATATCTTTACAGTTCCAATCTAGAATAAAATATTATTTTATCTGTCTATCTCTGTATACATCATGTACATATTTACTCATATATCTAGAATGTATATATCTGCATATATACATATACATTAATTAAGATATTAATCTATCATATGATTTAAAAGATTTAATTTACTATCAATTAACAAAAATAACAATGTTAGCGAAAACGATAATATTGTTTTTAATTTAAAGCAAGCATATTATTCAATGTATCATAACACAATACGTTTCGTGAACAAACTATGTATTGATTTTAAAGTTATAATATAGCAAGCAAACATTTATGAAGAACGATTCATTCAAAACGTATTAACAATTACATAGAAATATCTAACATTTCAACAAAAGGGACAACATAAGTTGTAATAGTAAAAATTGCATTGCATCATTAATTCATTGTAAAATATTCATTAAATATTAAAAAAATAATTACCTTTTGGTCTCTTTATCATTGTCAAAAATGAAAACAAAAGATAGTTGAAATAAGTTAAATTTATTTACTTATGTTTGTTATCTAATATTATTCTTAAGTTAATTGACCCTTGGTTATCAATCATATTCGAACATGAATAATCATCACAATCCGAATATAAAACATATAGCTGTCCATACGGCATAATCATTTTATAAGCCTACATATTATAAAATAATCCTTTCTGGTGTTTTTAATGTAGAAACAGTATGTACCTTTTTCAAGTAATTAATTATCATAATCAAATTCCTTACTCTCACCTAAAGTATAGAAACTTGTCAATTGTTAACCATTATAAAAGATATTTCTTTTTTTGTGGTTGATGGCTCACTGTTTTACTGTTACTATAACGAAGTTGACTTATACAGTACGTCTGTGTTTAAACTCATTAACGACGCTTTTCACAGTCTTAGATATCTAAATAATTGGAAAGCCGTAAATTCTGATGTTATACCAGGAGACGCTTACCATGTCGATGCACCCAGACTAGCTCCTTCTGTTGTTCGTGCAATTCCGTCCGTTTTTGCTTGCAACTTGCTTTGTATTCTTGGTTAAATTAGGAGTTTTAAAAATTAGTGAATCACTGTTAACTCATTTATTTGTACCCCCACTACTCTTTATATTCATAAATAGCTAACACTCAGGTACATGTTAATTTGTACACTGAATTATGACACATGTATCAGACAGTATTGTCTTGGACATACCATTTGTATTATTGAATTTTTTTTTTCAATTGTCGATCATGAATTTGACAGTAAAATCTATTATTAAAATAAATCATTCAGTTTTTTAAATATGCATATTTATCAGATAACATATGTAGAAATTTTGATCTCGATAATACTTCCGAATAGATGTAGAATTAGTATAGCCTATATTCGCCAACCGGAAATAGAAACTGAAAATTAAGACATTGAAATAAAACATTTACATCATCGGATAAAGTAACATAAAACACATATACAAATCACCGGTGACGAACTTCAAATACATTTTCATTTTAAATTCAGATTTTTTTATAACTATTCAAACAGGTTTTTAACACATACCAGGAATGGTTCGCTAGGTTTTGAACTGTTTTATGTAGAGTTACGGTCCGTTATAATTATATTAAGCTTGTTGTAGGATTATATGTCCTACTGAGACAATAAATTCGTTATAAACCTAAACTTAAACACACCTATTACAGAACACGTTTACTTACCGATGTTGTCAGCAATGGTGTTGATGTGTTTACATCACCAAGATAAAAATGACATCTGGCAAAGTTACTTTTTTTGTCAGTCACTGTAAGGTATACTGATGGTGAGCAACAATCACCACTGAAACAAATGAACAACAATATGCAATAAATAATATAACTCATTTGCTTTAAGTATTGAACTTCTTTGTTGAATTTAAATTAAAATTTATAAATGCGAAGAATTTAGTTAAATGAACATTGCAATCAAATGGTATGTCTAAAGAAGAGATGCAGAGTTTAATCTAGTTTGAAACAGTAAACAAAAGTCAACTCGGTTATAAAACAAACAAAGCCTTCGAAGCACGACAAATTAGTTTGTTTTGCAACTATCTTCGTTTTAAGTTGAATTTCATACTGCGTCAATAGTAAGACATAGAATAAAATAGAACACAAAAGAAAACTCTATGTTAGTCCAAAAATTATATTGAAATCTTGTAGTAGATTATGCATTATAAGTGGTGGCTTCTTAAACGGTAGCTAACGAGCGCAATTAGTCGTGAGTTGATTATTATTTCCGAATCAACTACTCTTTTTATATAGATTTTTTTACATAAGCTATTTCGAGTAACCCGATCGTTAATTTAAAGTTTGGTACCTTAATCAAATAAACTAAATTTAAGATAACTTCATTGTTTGTCTATTTATGCATGTACGCTTTGAAAAGCATCTATCTGCAAGTTCCACCTTTATAGTTGGGTCGACAATTACAAGAAAGATACATGTACCTAGATGTTTATTAAATATTAGTTCTGGTATAATTCGGAGAGTATGTTTAATCCTAGTTGTTCGATATATGTAGAACACTATTTAGGCAACCGTTAGCTATCATAAAAACTAAATAATTGACCTGTAAGTGAAGAAATATGTGTTCTTTTTTTTGTTGTTTCACTAATATTTAATCTATTTAAAAGTCATACCAAGTCGCCGATACTTGAGATCGTATAGACATTGGTAAAGACATATAGAACGATAAATGTTAAAGTATAAAGTATGTAGTTTTAATCTTACGGCGGGTGGGGAGAAAGTTTGTCAAGGAACACTCTTAGTGGTTTATATTTGAGACGACATGGTTGTCGAAGAGTGTTATTGTAGAAATGGAACTGATTCACTGTGATGCTTACGTTTAACTTTATTTCTACGTAGCGGTAACCTATATGATAATAAAAACAATAAATGTTAACAGGTAGAATGTTTATAATATAACCTTTATGTTGTTCATTTTAGTGTAAACTTCTTGAGTTCCGACATTATTCTGAGTCCATTATATATGTTATAGCAAATATGATAAGTAAAATGTTCGATTTAAAGTTAACTTAAGTTGTCTGAGTGGTCATTGGATTATCAAACAAAATTCAATAAGAACAACGACTGACGTTCAGATAATTGGTAATTAATTAGAAACGCTGTCTTGTCCTGTCTGTTTCAATGCCTGTTCATTATATCTTTTTAGGGGGGGGGGGCAAAAATCTCCGTTATTCACATTTATAATATATATAGTATATCTTTTAAACTTATATACTAGCAGTTGTTACACCGAAGCAAAACATATACAATTTACTATAATGTAGGTTCGAATCATGTCTTTACAACGACATTTGTGAAGGATACTATCTGCATTTAAATAAGCCCACAACAAATCATGATACAACTATTAAAAACTGGCGATAACACCATCAAATTATCAACTTTTGAAAGTTAGTTTTGATAAAATATTTTTCGTCAATTATTTTTTTACCTTCTTTATGATTTTACGTAAATTATAGGTTTTTAGAGTTCTTTCCATTCCGTGTCCAGAAAAAGCGGATACAATATAAATAGGGCTGAAATACACGTTTCTACAATATAAACGTTCATACTGTCATCATCGGTTGCTGATTTTCTTTTTTGAATAGTTTACACGTCGTTTCGTATTAAGATGGTACATACTAATACAGGGAGATAACTCAGTAAAAATCAGCTGAACGTTGTGTTTAATCACCAGTTTTTCCCCTGTGTTTTTAAAGTATAATGTTAAAGGCAACGTAAACGTAATTTGACTGTATTTTGGATTTTTTTTTATATTTCGGGTGTTTTTAAAATTCACTGAACTGCATCTGTGTCCTAAATACATGGTGTAGTGTGGCATATTTTCCAGAGATAGAATATATATAAAATGTGTCAAAACGATACATAGGTGTAATATACAAATCGCAACTTTATCCCATCATAAAAAAAAATAAAGGACAACGAAAGAATAACACAAATACAAAAATAAAACATATTGAATATACACCTGTCTACTGTTGAACGCAATATATTCAGCTGTAGAATTTACGGGTACCTGAGCTTGTGTTGTTGTATATTTCGGAGAAGAGGGGTTGCTATCTTTTTTACGTAACATATATTGCAGTCATAATAGACAACCTCTGAATTTCTGTCTTACAATTAAAAGCAGCGCGGTCGACTATATTTACAAGATAACAGTCCCCTTTATTAGAAGGTCAATGACAAACATTAATCAAATTAACACTATAAGAGGCAATAGCAGTTTGTCGATGTTTAAAAACGACAAAGATGAGACTGTCATCCAAACATTTTTTGAGAGATCATTAACACACTGGAGAATATGTCCTCCAGACAATTACTCATTATTACTGACGAAGTTATAACAATAATGACATACCAAAGCATATTCTAATTGTAATATGTCTGTATATGGAATGTCTTGTCCGTTCCGACAAAAAGGTCTACTGTTATATGTGTTTTTACCTGGCATTGATTTTTATCGGGGATGAATGTACGCTGCTTGTTTCGAAACTCCATCCCTTTGATCCAGAAAAAGATGACAGTTCAGTTGCAAATGTTATCGTAGCCTGTTCATTCCATGTAACTCCTGAACACGACGTGATATCCAAGTCATCACACGTTCTAACTAATTGTTCAACAGTACAGGATGGTGCAATATCTGGACTAATCTAGAAAAACAAATATAAAATTCTTTGGATATTAAGCACCCAGAATATAAACAGTTTGCAATATTTTCTTCTGTGTTCCTAAAGCATAAGATGACACAAACAAATGCTTTTTTTGCATTTGCACAGAAGATACGCTTTCAATTTAACTTTAATTGTATATGTAACGGCAAATGTTTAGTGACATTAACGATTTTCATTTTTCCCTGAATTAGCTTCTACATTATGACAAGGAAAATGCTAAAGTATTCTTTATGACAAGATATTGATACAGATTAGTTATCTTGTGTGATAAGATAGGTGTTAAATCGGCTGAATCAAAAATCAATCATAAACGCCTTAGATAGAGAATATATGAAATTCATTCGACCACAATCCAGAAGAAAATAGCAAAACGTGATTATAATATGTAATTAGATTATATCATACGCGAGGAAATAATTCGTATGATTCTCAAACAGCGGAATTTAAGGCTGAACAAATCACTCAACATAAAACAAGGTTGACCATTTTGAACTTTTCAGAAAATTTCCTTAGCCCAGTAGTCAGCACTTCTGGGTTAACTTGAATTATTACTGATATGGTCATAATCATAATTTAGCTGTTAATAAAACTTAGAGTTTTTCGAGATACGAAGGATTTTCTACCCCAAGATTATATTACTTTAGCTGTATTTGGCAAATAATATCAGAACTTTGGGTCCTCAATGCTTTTCAACAATGTACTTTTAAACTATTTTCATTCGACCGTCACTAATGAGTCTTTTGTAGACGAAACGCGCGACTGGTGTACACACTTTAATTCCTGATATCTATAATGAGTTGATTTACATGTTATCTTCCAAACATCGTATATTCATACCATCTTTCATTTGATATCTTTACTAGTTTCCTTATTTCTCAGTTACTTTGCAATCGTATGACAAGTGCGGCAGGAGATTAAAAAAAGTTCTAACTTGTCTTATTGAATTGCCTAGTGATTTCAATTGCTTTACCAAAATCAGTAAATGTGAATATTGTTTTGCGATGGGTTGAATATGAAATAGCTTAAGGCTTCTACATAAATAAGAAAGAACGAACATTCAGCTTATACCAGATGTCTATACGTTTGGAAGATAGGACGACTTAACAATTTTCATCTCCCGGATGATTTTACCTGTACTTAACAATTGAGTAATTATTTCAGAAATATTGATTTGAGCAAATTATTCTGATAATATGATTTCTGATTTATATTCAATAACATATTGAATATGGAATACAAGGACACAAATGTAGATCCAAAAGTGATGTCAAATCACTCGAATAAAAACTATTCCGGATAAGAAATAATTAACTTACATATAGTATTTGACTTTCCCGCAAAACGATACTAGCTGATCCGTGTTCGCGAATTGTCAAAGTGTACGTCCTGTAATAAGAGTAAAAGTGTGTCAGTGTTCAATGAAAATCTGCCAAGAAAACGAATAATTTAACAAGGATAACCATTTCTTGAAAAAGGGAATTAATACTTCCATGCTCCATACATTTTTGCAAACCATTTATGCATCTATTTATCTTGATTCTTGTTTAAAATAACCTGAATTAGACACACTCAAAACAACAAACTTGTAATGGCAAATGTATGGGATTATAAAGACCAAGAAGGGGGATAAATAGAACTGCCACCATCGTCTAAAGTTAATTTTGCTAGAGGTAATTATATGTTTAAGTGAAGTAAATTTCGTAATTCATCGATCGAGAAAATGATAACAATGTTTAGCTAATTTTAACTTTAAATTAAGTAAATTTTATAATTTATCGATTGAGAATATGCTAACAATGTAGAAAAGTATTTAGATACAATGGGCATGCATGATTGAAGACATAATAAGTCCATTATAATGGATACCATACAGATGATGTTGTGCCTGGCCTGTGATAGTTAGATAAATGTATGCATCCAATTTTAATGCGTATGCCATTCGTTTCTCACTAACCATCAATTAAAAACGTTATGCAAAACAAATTTCATTGGAAAAATAAACTAACATGGGAAAACTGTCTATTAGTAAGCCTCAGGAAGGTTAAATATTATTAAAGTAAATCTTACACTGTATTATTTAGGCTAGATCCCTGTATCTGAAATGTTATTTCTGCAAATCCGTTGCTATTAATTAATCGAGTAAAACGTGTATTACCAGTCAGCAATCCTCTATCATCTGTTACATCAATAACAAATGTTTCATTCTCTGAACCCTTGTTTTCTAAGATGTAGGATACATTACCAACAGCGTTCATATAAAGATCTGAAGAATAGTACAATATAAAGAACCATCGCAATACAGAAATTATTTGCAAACTACTGATTTAATGTTTCAATTAAAATGCTGTTGTCCTACTTATTTTTGTTTGTTTGTGTTTTTGCTACAAATAAGAATTCTTTAATTTGTTGTATGAGGCAATACTACAATGTTCCGTTTTGGATTTTTTATTTAGTTTAATCTGGGTATTGTACAAGGTTGCAATTTCCTACTTTTTTTAAGACGTGACTGTATGCTTAGCTCGCCACGTACAATTTAATTGTGTATCTAGAAAGGTAGAAGTGTTTAATGTTTGTATTCCTAATCATAGAACAGATTAATTCATGTGTATTTTTTTTCTGGAATACATTTGTAACAGCACGGCTTGAGGCCAATAGTTTTGAAAGCTAAATATCTATTAAACATTCGAAACTATATAATGTACATTGCAGAAAATCTCTACAAAAGTTGTAAATCAATATACAGTCGAAATAAAGATATATTCGTGTATATAAATACATTAGTCAGCAAACTAGAAGTTTATAAGGTATACAAACCTGGCATGGAAGTTAACTTTAGTTTAATAGTCACCGGAGAAATAGAATTAGGTGATGTCCTCATCCAGGTAGTTCCACTGTCATCTATTCCATAAATACTTACATCGTAATGCTGTAAGAATAGTTTGCAAACATTATGGTTAAATAGACCGCTTTGGTGTAAGTAAAAAAAGTAGTTGTGGTATGATTGTCTTTAAAAACATTTTCCACCAGAAACTAAAGGGCGAGGATATAAACAACTACAAATAACCGTACAAATGTTCAACAATGAGGAAAGAACCACACCTTATAGTAAGCTGTAACAGACCCCTGCATAATGAAATAAGAAAAATTTCAAATGGTAAAAGCAACAAACTGATTTATTTTAAAAACAATTTACGAAAATAAATTATAGAAGACAGAGACAGAGATTAAAAGCCCACACACATGTTTAACCCCGCCACATTCTTTGTGTGTCTGTCCCAAGTCAGGAGTCCGGAGTACCTAAGTTGTCGCTGGTTCATGTCTGCCATACTTGGTTTTCGGAAATTGTGTTGTTACGAATCAGGCCTTTAGTTTTTTCCTATAAATTGTATCACATTTTTTCATGTCTTGGTCTTTTAAAGCCAAATTTATGATTTGGGTTGTTCTCATTGTTGGAGGCCGTACAGTGGCATATAGTTGCTTACTTCCACAGTTTTACTCTAGTGGGTAGTTTTCTCATTGGCAATCATACCACATCTCCTCGTTTTTATATGAAAAATGCGCCAGGGATTTTTAACCCTCCTGTTACATTGTGTAAAAGTACAACATCAGAAGATAATCTGAACATATTGTATCTATATCAATACATTTATTTTCAAGGCTTTATTTCATGTCATTTTCACTATTTTTTTATATTCTTTTGAATTAACCGTATACAATGATCTACTTGTGTTAGAGTCAATAAGAATCATGTTTTCTATTCTACTTTAATGTTGTAAATTATTTATACTACAGTTTATACAAAGACTTACATCTGCTATTAGAGTTGTCGAAACAAAGTATTTCGAGTCAAATTCTCCAGAAATCAGTGTTAAATTGAGATAATTCGTTGTTGAATTTCTTGTTTTCAAACGCACGGATGACGTTTTCATACCAGCAGGTAGGTTGAACACAGTAAAATATAATGTATAGTTTCCGCCTACAAAATTTTAAATGAAGGTTGTATCGCATCATTGTTAATGTAAAAACAAAAGTTAATTTCAATTCTTTTAATACTGCAAATTTTACAACAATGTAGAATGTAATTCACCAATGCATTCAGATAAACATTAATCCGTTTTTATTGACAACAGTCGGTCAAAAAATCATCCTAATAATTGATAATTTTAAGAACAGCTCATTTGAAATAATAATTGATGACATTGTGTATGAACATGGTTTCACTAAATTGTCAATTTGTTTATTTCGGTTTCTCGAAAAGAACACGGAAGACCATCGTGTCCTCGTCATTGAATCAGCAAATAACACTTGTTGCTGTTTGATAAGTTTGTATGACTACAATATATTATATTTTATCTTATTAAATGGTTTTCAATTATAAATTTACACTGCTTTACATACCTACTACGGGATTTCCTGAAACTTTATATAATTGGCCATCATTTGCTTCTTCTGTAATAACATAGTGAAAATCTACAGAAGTCTGGGCTGTAATATTGACCGTCCAGTGGTTGTTTCCTGTTCTCATTAAACTATATGTGCCAGGCTTTGGATTCTGAAAGAAAATGTACTATGTTTTGAATTGTAAACAACATTTGAAAACAGAGTGGCATATACTAACTGTTAGATTCCTTCAATTGTTTTGTTTCATATTCGTTCGCCGGTTTTCGAACATTCGCTTTTTGCCCAAAAGAAATTAAAATAATATATAAAGAGATGTCAATGAAACTTTTAGGACATTGATAAGGGCCTTTTTGCATCGTCCACCTCCTATTTTCACTTTTTTTCCCGAATGCCTTTATGCGATGTATATTTGGAAAGCATAAATTTGGATTCTTTAAGAACGGGTAATAAATAGTGTAGTATGCTTACAGATTGCTAAGTTTTATAGAGGTTAACACATTTAAATGGACAAAGGCAAACAAGGCAGTATGACAAATATTTTTAAAAACTCATCCATTTAACAACACAAAATTTCGCTCGCATGTGGTTGTTGAGGTGTTTTCTATTATTTTGAACTAGTCATGTATTAAACATATATTTGCTTCCAGAATAACTGAGTCACAAAGAATTTTGTTGTTACGATGTACGTGAAATATATTTAAATAAAATATATGTTATATTTTTGTAATTTATTGTTAATTCAGTAAAGGTCCTGTCGTAAATAGTTTATGCCGTTGAAACCACAAATCATCTTAATAACCATGATAACCAGAAATGATCGTCATTCATTGGTCAAATTAAATAATAATGGAAGATGACGTCTACGGGTTAGTTTGCAAACCATATTGGTAAAGTTATTTACCACGCGGACACGTTAGATGTACTTGTACTTTATTCAAACAGTTATTTTAAATCCAGGTTCAATCAAAGTGTCAAAATACTCATATGTACCAAAGCTCTAACAAGTCCGCTGTTGGTGTATAAGTACAGACTATGACAGACAATCTAAATATTCATCTAGGGTGCGTCAACAAGGCAAACATCGTATGCATGCATTACCTGTCATGCAAATTCAAAATGTCACGATAATGATTGATAGGACAGAAATAGTAAATGTAAGACAAGTAAAAGAGAGGCTAAAAATACCAATGGGACATACAAACTCATAAGTTGAAAATAAACTGACCACACTATGGCTAAAAAAGAACAAAAAAGACAAACAAACAACAGTACACAAAACACAACATAGAAAACTAAAGCCCGAACAACATGAACCCCGACAAAACCTGGGGTGATCTCAAGTGCTCCAGAAAGGGTGAGCAGATCTTGCTCCACCTTTGGCATCCGTCGTGGTTCTCATGCAAGTTCAAACAACCCGGTGATAAGTTTAATTCGGAAGATCACATTCGGGTAAAATCGGACGGGATTGTATTTACGACAGTTGGAACATATCCGTTGTCATGTGTGATACAGATATGTAATAACGGCCAACCACCTCGTCAATCGCATCCGTAAAATTTACGAAGGGCTGATTTCATTTTCACCATTTCGAACTCTTGGTGAGCAGCAACCCTCTATCAATTAAATCATGATAGGAAATGCTCTTGAATATAAGAGTTTGTAGACATAGAGTTGACTGTGCTGGAGTTCGAATCGAGTTTTCAATTATCTAATACAAACTGTTGATATATAAAAAATTATATGTTCGTTATAAATCATACTAAACCAACAATGATATAAATTGTTTTTTGGATTATTGTCTTCCTCTCTTTCTCTCTCTCTCTCTCGTGTATTTACCAAGATAGTAACAATAACTTTAGCTGGGCTTTCAAAAAGCACACTGGTATTTTCAGCTGTGATTACAGATCCTGGAACAAAATAATGTAAATATGGTAATGGAATTACACTTTCAAATTTTCAAGTCGAAGTATGTGTAATAACAAACACTATGTTGGAAAGGATCGTTAGTGCCGATGCATGTTTTGAAATTTATGCTTAAATTTTACGTCATAAAGATAACACTGATGTGTAGATAAAACACAAAATTTGGTCAATGTAAGAAGTATGACATACTATGATAATTGTCATTTATTTTTAATTTGGTAATTTTAGCTGTAAATAGGCATAATTGACATACATCTTATGAACCATTCACTACTATTAGTACTCTATATAAAGGAGATGAGATATGATCGTAAATGCGAACTAGATGTATCCACAACAGTCCACATATAGGTCACCGTGACGTATTAAACAATGAGCATAACCTATATAGTATAGCCAGTTATAAAGGTTCCGGCATGCAAAAAAGTGAAAGAATTCAAACGAGAAAAACAAACTTGTTATCATATGGAAGATACATAATGTAAAACTTGGGTATGGTTTAATAATCAACGGCAAACAAAAATTAAAAAAAAACTAACCAACGACAATACTGAATAACAGGCTTCTTACTTAGAACAGACACAGTCATGAATAATGTGTGATGGGTTAAACATTGTAATAAGCGCTCAAACCTTCCCAAATATGATAATTTTTTTTCTATCTTATTAAATTAATTACAAATACTCAATAAGAATGCGATTTGTTTGCTTTTTTTAATTATAGAAGTACACCAAATCCACATCTTATATCATCAGTTTCATAGTGGATCTGAATATTCAAAAGTATAAAAGTACTATGGACTTTGTACCTTTTATGAATTTTAGGGGTAGTTTACAAAACGAATACAATTGATAATATGCAAGGAAACGTATTGACTTCGTTCTCAATCTTAGTTCAATCCACCAATGTATATCGAACACAGTAAACTCGAAACAATATTCGATTTGAAAAAACTACAGTTAACAGAACAAGGTTACTGGCTTACTCTATAATCACGGTTTCTGTATTTATTTTTGTGTGTTTTAAAGGTTACTGCTAAGTAACCATCTAGAAATGTTATGTCATGAAACAAAAATATAGTTATATTCACCAAATTCGGATGCAACGTCAACATCATTTGAAGAATTAGCACCAATCACTGTGATTCTAACATTGTTCAACATATTGTCGACTGGAAACACCATTGAATTATCGTCATGTTCTTCGACCTCAAAAATATCCACTGTCACAGTTGCCGATGGAAAGAGTTCCTTAACACATAAACACATCATGTTTATGTATAGAATTGTCATATTAGTATTACTTTAAAGCCAGCGAACATACAACTGCTAAACAGTACTATTCAAAGGATTATAAAAATTGAGTTTGGTTAGATTTTGTTAGCGAGTTCTATGAAGCATTTTAATGAAAGACTGGTACACGTGGTGAGGATATTCTATTTTGTTTTATTTCTCCATTCATTTTGAAGTTCTTACATCAAACTTTTTATTTTTCATTTCTAATTTGACATTTGTTTAGCTCCAATCGGAAATTGATATATTCAAAATGACATATCTCACTTCCAAGTTGTCATTCATCATTTCCAACTTGACACTTCACACTTACAAGATGAGATTCGTTACCTCTAAGTTTATCTTTTTGACTTCAAATATATCGTTTTTATTTCCAAGTTGAACTTATTGGAATTGAAAAATTGTCCAGGTTGATATGAATTACTAAAAATTGTCATTTTGGAAGCGAGAAACAAGTTTAAAATTAGAAATTTTAGCAATAACATTTCCCTACTCGTCTATCTTATATATTTTGTTTATGTTTGTTAACACTGTTCAAACAATTTCAATGTATCATTGGTGCCATGTTTTACTAAGCATATATATGAACAGTGATAAACAGCATTGAATGAATGTGAAACAAACTAAATAAAATTTAATTAAGTTGTATTGACTTCTTTGTGAAAATCATCCTTAAGATACATTCCTAGACATGCTTTCGGGACAATGTACATCATTGTCTGCCGTGAATTGTTCGAAATGAACAACTAGTCTATCTCATTGATTTTGCCTATTCGTTATTTATCTCATTAAAATACTAATACGTTTTACATTATGTATCTTCCATATGATAACAGTTGGCATATTAAAGATAGATCCTTTTGTTCGGTAAATTATAGTTACACAGTGTGCTAGTGACCACATACGATATAAACAGGGTCAGTAAATTCCATATCTTACCGACTATCTTATATGGGGAGATAAGACGTAGTTGTTAACCTTGATATCACAATTTTTACATAACATTAAACAAAACATTCAATTATTTACAGTGCGAAAATCAGCGTTCCTAAGACATCTATTGTTTTTATGAATGAACGTAACATTACTACTAACCGTGTATTAAATTGAAACACGCCTACTGAACAAATATTAACTATACACGGTCTCCACGTGCTCGCTTTTGGCCAATGATATTCATAGAAGCGTATAGAAGGTAAGATACATTTCCATATTCAGATTGGAAAGCAGTTGTAATATATGTATTACATAACACATACGTTAATTTTCAGTATAAAAAAAAATAAAATAAAATTCACAATCTCGCATTTCCTTATCAAAATTATATACCTTACTGATCTGTCGTATGATATCACCTAGTTCCACTGTACTAAACCGGTAAATGGTTCCTCCTGTACCTGCTGCAACTAAGGAATACGCATCTTGTTCAGCATCACGCTTTATTCGATCTTGAATAGAATCTAAATTATAAATGTGCATACGTTAATAATACGTTAAGGTATTGAGCAGAATCGTATTTTCATAAAAAAAATATCTAAAATTGCAGTTGAGTCCTGGTTTTTGCATCCTTACAGCACGTTTCAAAAAATAAAATACGTGATTGCAAGGCTGATGATGGTACCTAGACTAATTTGGTTTTTTTTGTAAATTTATTTATCGAGAATGCCAATCCGCTATTGTGTGACGCTATTGTGTGACGCGTAATTTCCTGATATAACTGATAAATGTATTTCAATGGGATACAATTTGGAAATGTCAATAATGGAACAGGAACTGCTAAATCTTGTGGATTATCTAGGTTCGTCGATGGTTTTAATCTTATTTATCTATGAAATGTTGTGCGAAGCGTAGCTTGTCTTTTCGTTTCTTAGTTTGGTTTCTGGACAAAGTGTTGCCAGTTGAAGTTTGATTTATCGTTTTCTATTATCCCCCTGTAATCTTCTCCCTCTTCTTAAAAATAAAAGAAACATATAGATGTTTTGACATATCTACTTATATCAAGGTTTTTATTGTCCTTTTTGTTTAGGCCAATTAAAATTAATTGATAGATTTTCATCCCCGCCCGCCCCTCTGAAATCGTTCCGCCCCAATTTTTTTTATTTTGAAAAATTTACGATTTCCGGATTTTGTTCATTTTCGTTACCGGTAACTGTCGATAATTTCGTTTCATTAATAACATCCTGTTTCAAATTTTGGTTTTTGCATTTCTTTGTATGTTTGATTCGTTATACATGTATATACATGATAGAACCTTATTATTACACTTGCATATATGAAGAACACGTCACAAGAGCGTTTCATATCTAATAAAAAATAAAAAATAAAATCCTCCCACCCACCCCGTTTTTTTAAAAAATTTGGATGAAAATCTACTTATTAAATTTACTTGGCAAGATTAAACATTATCATCAAATTTGCAAACACAAGTACCTAATGATATTCATTGGAACTAGTATGATTTGCACAGCCTTTTGTATATAACCTGAACTTCAATTTTCTACATTGTGCATATTTTCTACTACTTTTGCAGATAACTTGATGTTATTGTCATTGTTACGAAGGACGTATGAAATGAATATTAAGCGAGCTCATTTGAATAAAGTCAAAATCAAAAACTAAAATATCGTTATTCTTGTTATCGGCAATTTGTCTTTACAATATGGTTTTTCTGTTCGAAAATATGAAAACAATGAAATAGTAAAAATATGTTCACGCATACAAAACGTTCGGATAGTCGTTTGGTTGTATGAATGAAGTCGCGTGCCTAATAATTTTGAGTATCAAGTCATGTTTATGATCTTAAAAAAATAAAGGGCGATAAGATCCAAGGGAAAATGCGCAAATTGCCGATAAATGTAAATCTGTGCAAGTTCAAAGAGTTGTTAATGAAGGCAAATAAAAAAAATTCAAAACCCCCGAAATTTGCCTACAAACAAATGGATTATAATATTCATGATTCAACCTAATTTTTCAATTACGCCAGAACGATATAAAATTATATATATATATACGTTTTTTTCTTTTATTATAAATATTTAAATATTTGGTACTTTGTTTGTGAAGGTAATAATTTCTTTGAGCATTTGTTTTAAATATAAAATGTTTCAATGCATCTTGTTATTTAAAATTACTATATAATTAAGTCGATGGGAATATATTGTTTCATTGGTCGGTGTGGAAATTTTGTTTCCCAGTTACTATGTGTATAATGTCATCTGCAATCGGTCTATATAATGATAAAATTAGATGTGTGTAGGTGTCATACAAACATTATCCACAATAAACTTCTTCTTTGTCGAAGGTTTATTAAAATTCAGCAGTGCATACCATGTGTGTCAGTTTGTAATAATATTCAATTACAATCTTTCTACTTAAGCTTATGCAATATGACATAAATTATGTAATATTTATATTAAGCATTACATATGTACCACCAGTTTCTCTCTTTTTCCGACGAGCACACAAAGAATCCTTTAGAAAAAGTCGCAGATCAATATTTTTTTCGTTAGCAGCATCTATTACAGTTTGGGCATCTGCTTCGTCTTTTGCTGGAGCATCAGTAAAGAAGAATATCGTTGATTTCTCTCTGCACAATTCAATAGCTTAAAATAATGAAGCATTGATATTAAAATCTGAGCGTCTTTATATCAAGAGAAAATGCAACCCGGTACCTTTGTTAACATCTGCAAAACAACGCATTAAAGTCAAGAAATAACTACTAACCGTGTATTAAGATAAAACACTCCTACTGAATAAAAATTAAATATACAAGGTCTCAACGTGGTCGCTTTTGGCCAATGATAGTCATAGAAGTGTATAGGAAGTAAAATATATTTCCCTATTCAGATCTTTGCGTTAAGGCAGGAACTGATAACTAAAATACCTTGGTATCAAAGAATTTTTTCGAAATGTTGCCTTATGTATATGCCCTAGCTAATCATGCTGGTGTAGATATTAAGTTAATTTTCATATTCTGACAACAAGACGGACGACAACAATACACTCTTTTTAAGAAAAAACATTTCAAATATGTTTGCCATGATAACGGAGATACATGTAAATGCGACTTATTTTTAGATATTACATGTTGTACCTTTTTGCAATCCGCTCATCGCATACTCTGGACAGTCACCTCCTCCTTCAAGTATTACATTTTCAAGTGCACTTATCATGTCAAGTCCATGTTCAGTCGTAAGTCTATGCACATGCTTCACTATGAATAACATAAATGAACAATACCGTGAATATTGAAGTTGATTAAAATAACGTATCTTGGTGTGAAGAGGCTCATTTTTAAATCCAAATGTAGGTTTTGATAGTGGGGAAAATTAATTGCAAGATATAAAATGAGGTTTAAGCAGAAATATACGATGAATGAACATTGCAATGAAAAATTAAGAAATATTAAAATGATTTATATACCATCTATGAGATTTAAACAGCCAATCAGAATACCAATTTTAAAGGCATAATACTTGCACAGTAAAGAAAATATAACCTTTAATGGCACCAGTATTTACAAATATGGCACCAAATAGGAACAGGATTGAACAAAACGAATCAATTCGTTATTTAAGTATTTAAGAACATTAGCTTTCTTTTATCTTTGGAAATTCGATTTTAGAGAATAAATACGACAAATGTGAGGAGGTTAAAATGGCATTGATTCGCGTTATTGAACAAACTTACTCTTAGTTAAGTGTAAACATAACGTCTGTTTGTAATTTACCGATTGTGTCCTTTTCCCGATTGTGGCATTTCTCTTAAGTGTAGACTCGCGTAGCAGGTTATATATGCATTGCAGAAGATGGTTACCTGTTTGAATCCTTGGTTTTGTTTATTTTGGTGTTCAGCCGATTACAGCAGTTTGTGTTTTTCACATTTGCTTTGAATTGTCTTCCTAAACAAAAACAATCGTATTTTCATATTGTCAATCAAAACTAATTCGTCCAAGGCGTTTGATTTAGACTAACATTATGCCCTTTGTACTATACATTTTTTAAATTCATTTAGGAATGCCAAAAAATTGCTATTAGGAAATCCGCGCCCTCCGGCAAACGGTCTCAGAGAAAAAGTATTTAATTTTACATAGATTGTTTCTCACGTCTTAAAGTAATGCGTGCCCTTTATATCAAATTACGTTAAAACAGTTGCAATATATACTAGCTAGTGCTAATGAAAATCTTATGGAAAACTATTATGACCATTACTCCTAAATTTTGATATTGTATATAATTAATAAATACGTGTGTGTCACATTAATTTCAATTGATGGTAAATAAGTCAATATTCTAAAGCTGGATATGCATTACAGTGTTAATTAGTTGAAACTCAACTCAACTCAAATAACCTACCTGGGTCGTTAAAAGTTACTAAGATGTAATTGGATGGCGCATTTACTGTACCCAAGACATTCGTCATAATATCTATGCATGCCTTTTGAACTTGAGCAATAATGGCTCCCATAGAACTGGTGTCGTCTATTACGAAGCCAAATGACGCCTTGTATCTTTTCAACAAGCCAAAAATCTGTATAAATGTGTCTATATTCACCTCGTTAATGATACCACTTTCTGTAACAAAATATGTGTGTAAATAAAATGTTTTAACGGACATCATCAAATGTACTAATCGAGAGATTCTACCACTGCATCGAGTGTGATACGATATTTCTCCATTCAAGACATTAAGATTTTGAAATTTAGAAATGTATCCGTCGAGAGTGGACAAATATTGTTTTGCACGAAATTAGGTGGTTGAATCTGTTTGTCTAATGATTTTTAGTCGATATGCAAACAAATATTATTCTCCTTGTTTAATGATCTGCAAAAACAATGTGTTCTTTCTATGTGAAATCATCAGAAAAAGCAATAAAATTTGACGTTATATTTGAATTTCGACCCATAAAGAACTGTGATTAAACGAACCTCACATTGATTAAATAAAAAGAAAATCGATGAGTATGGAAAAGAATTTTTTTTTTTCTTTTAACACAACACTGACATATAATTAAATGTTTAAATCTTCATGAAACATACGTGTATCTATTAGAAATTGAACTGTGGCATTTCGTGCAGCATAAAATGCTTGATAGTGAAGATGATGATGAGGTGAATACTTTGGGTCTAAACTGTCTTTGTTGATTCCTCCTATTGCAGTTCGATAACCATTTTCTGGGTCATTTCGTCCTCCGAATCCACACTTTCCTTGATCGATATCGCCACTAGTTTCTACAATTATTTGTTATTTGTACATACATGAATTTCGAAAATTCTAAAAACAAATTGTTTATTTTATAAAACTGAGTCTAATTGATCCATTAAAAAAAAAATACTCACCATGTTTGTTTTTTTATTGGATCATTAAGTACCTATCTTAAAAAAGGATGTTTAATTAACATCAATGGTACAACAACCCAAAACAATAGAATATAGCCATCAAAAGGTTCACATACGTCCTTCGACATTCACTAAAATTGTATTAACAAATATATCGTTCTCCAACGGTATATTCAAATAGGGAAAGTCCATTAGACCTGGGGGAATCAAACTTTTGACTGTATGAACTAAAAGAACGACTGGAAAACTGTCATATTTCTGACTTGTTACATGCATTTTTAGAAGAAGATATTTGGATATACCTGGTTGTAAACACATACTAATAGTGTATCCTCCTACTCATATGAAAGTTATTTTTAGTTCCGTTATACTGAGTTTTTGTAGTTTTGCACAGTATTGAAATATATAATGGCGAAAACAAAACCAAGAAACATTTAAAAAAAAAGAAAATCGAAACGGAGGATATATATTCTGATTCCTATTTATGGAGAGAAATGCAACAAGTCCTGTCAAATTACAATCGCATGATAAATCATTCCTAAAAAAACACTGCACCGTACGCTGTACCGCTGTTTGTTTTTACATCGTATTTTTTGTTTTTGTTTTCTGCCATGTTATTGTCAGTTTCTTTTCGACTCATGAGTTTAATTATCCCTTTGGTATTCGTTGCCTCTCATTTACACCACCCCATTTCCATTATGCACCATCCAAATTCCATCACACGACTTTAACACCAATCAGGGGCTCTATATACCATTCGTCTTTTTTATATACATACTGTATGGAGGTTGCACATCCTGACCTGTCTGATAACCACTAGTCAACATATCATTTACCAATAAATTGTTTTTGCAGGAACTCTCGTTTTTGCTACAAAAAGACAATTATGTGTAAGCAATAAAAGTGTTGTTAGTTGTTTCTAAGTTTGTTCAGGTCTTTGCAGTCATTCCGTTTCATCAATTAATGAAAACTGTCCATTTAGTCTGTTAATTCGACACTAATTATATTACATGATTGTTTTTTATGCAGCTGTTAGTAAAAAACTTTCCAAACAAAAATTAAAATGCAAATAATTGATTAAACAAGGAAAACATCTTCTGAAATGAGTGGGGCGGCAAAAGTTGAAAAGACGCTAAGTTAACGAGTTTAAATTACCTAAATTCCTCATGGAATTTTAATGTCTTAAAATGTCTATCGATTATTCAACTTCAAAAAAATATTTGTCGTAAATATCAAATGTGGTGACAGTGACATCAAAAACGACCTTAACTGACGTTACCCAACTCTCACCGAAGACCCAACTACTGTTTCGATAGACTAATATCATAGTTAACCCTTTTCTAAGCATGATTTGTGAACTAAATTGGCGAATATGGTTATTTTGAACTTCATACATTTTAAGGGCATTTTTAATGAGTACTATATTTAAAGCACAGGATATCTGAAAATTGTGAAAAAAACACAAAAAAATCACTGTTTTGCACCCGTCATTATTTGCACTTGCAATAAAAGTGTATTTTAAAGGTACGACCGTAAAGCCGTCGTATGATACTTCAATTGACTTGGTTTACTTTTTGAAGAAAATTAGTAATAAGCAATATAATTGATTAAACATCTGCATTTTATAAGAATTTCAATTCCGGATATGTGTTACACATGAACCGACGCTGTTCTTGTTTCTAGTTATCAATCAGTCCACATTAGGTAATTTTGCGATGGCCATTTTCAGTTATTATCACGCGTATTTCTTGTTTACTTTAGAATTTCTGAAGCTTTACGGTTTATTCATGTTATTAGGTATTGCTGATTAGTCGTGTTTGTTGAATTTAACCGTAAAAAATGACAATCAGTGTACGGTGCGTTTTGTTTTCAGGTGTGTTCTATCTGTTGGACATTCAAGTAAAAGGACAATTACACTAGTTTGTTAAAAGTGGCTCCGTCCGATGTCAAGAAAAAGTGCTCTGAAGTTGGAATTGACAAATTTGTTGAAACTTTAAAAACATCAACAGAATCTAGAATAAAAAGTCTGCTAAATGCTGCAGCACTGAGACGTATGTAATGATACGTAAAGTTATTCAAACATATTTAGGTATCACAGGACTTGTTTTAAAAGCTTCACAAGTAAACAGAATTTGAAACCAGTAGCACGACTGAAAAGGAAGCACCAAATATGAAGCCAGATTTGTCCGATTCTTTGTTGGTTGAAAGTAATGTTGACCCGGCCTCTCGATACATTAAAGTGTATAATTTGCAAGAACATTTCTTAAAAAAAGTGAAAACATTACATAATATGCTGGAAAATTAGCAAATTTAAAAAATGTTACTGTGAGAGCAGGCGACGCTGATATGATAAACCAAGTAAAGTATGATAATAATGCAGTTTATCATGCTGCACGTTGTTTGGCCATACATTGTATGCTTGACACAAAGACGAAATTACACAAAGAGTAGTTAATATTGTAGACAAAGACATTATTCGTGACAAAAAGACTCTTCTTATTTAATCAATGTTGATAATGACCAGTCTTTCTTACCAACTAACATATTAAGTAAAACCTACTGCAATTACTCTAAACTGAAGACTAAACTTAAGAAGCACTACATAGATGCCAAAGTGTTCTTTTCTAAAAAAAAAAAGGACATGGCAAATCGAACATTTAATTTGCAAGCGTCATTTCAATTGGCGACGCCTTTTACAATGTTTTAAGCCGCAAATAGCATCAAAGGAAAATCAAAAATGTTAAAAAACCGACTTCCCGCTGTAACCATGAAGAGACAGATATCACAATGATTTTTCATGCTTTTCATGCTGATGCTATGTTTTTCTACCTGATGTTTAAAATTACAAACTTAAGAAGTATGTGTTCAGAATGGTTCCATTGACAGCTTCAAGGATAACAGACGATTCAGCCCAGTTGATGCCAATGTTTCGTCTTTTGACCAAGTTGTCACCGAAATTCTGCCGATCATTCATGTCTAGACTGGATTTTATTTCACTTCAAGTTTTTGTGGAATTGGTAAAAAGTCGGTTGGCAACCTCCGTAGAACAAAAACAAGCCACTTCGGCAAACGGTGATCTTGATAGTGCTACATATGATGCTAGAGTGTTTTTACTGCGTTATACGGCTTAAAATACAAGTTCAATAAATCGCTAAGACAACAGTTGACTATATATAAAGATACAAATGTTGCCAACCCAAATAAAGGCAGCCATAATAGTTTGGTTGGAAAATTTAGCAAAATGACGAGTAAGAGCAAGTTTTCTTTGAAGAACAAATGACATCAGACTCTCGACAAGACCTTGTTTGTTCATGTAAGGGAGAAGCATGTGCAAGCAGCATGCGTTAACAAGGAGCAGCGACTCATTTCAAAAAAATATTACGAGAAAAAACTACTCGTAAGTCATGAACATTTCAGTATAACCTACGATCAATTTTAGTCGTAAGATTTCTTGGTAAAAACAGTCATATTCCAGTGGCAGTCCAAGTTTCCCCGACCTTCATACCGGACGTCCTCTGTTACCGTAACTACCTAGTGTAGCTATTGTTAATAATGTCAGATGGATGGTAGTTTTACGTATTAACATTAACATTAATTTTACTTGTTATTTTTTACTTCGCAATTGTATTTACTCTACTTACCCAGAATTGTCACAATCTTGGCAAGTGTCCAATGTTACACCAGCAATATCCATTAACGTTTTATTTGGTACTCCTGTGACACAGGAAAGAAACATCAACATAGAGTAGCAATCGTTTTACTTCATGAACTTCGTCGATCAAAATAATCTAAATTTACTTACATGCATATGTAGATTGGTATGTGCTGTTTATTTATTTCATTTTGACACTATTGACACTATTTATTGTAACAACTGTAAAATGGCTGTTCATGAACGAAATTGGGCATACGGATTAACAGCTAGATATAATTATAAACATCTAACGAGAAAATTATTTCTGACATTTTGAATGATCCAATCATTGCAAAATGTACAACTCGTCTAACTCGATTTTGATGATATTACTATTTTTGTGAAAAGTATATATCTGTTAAAGCTTACCAAAGTCTGTGTAAACCTCATCACCGTTCATTTCAACCCAGTTAGATCCGCTATAAAAAGCTTGTATTGTGAAAAGGCACTTCCCAATCAATTGTCGAATCAATGAGAAATTTGGTTCCGCACTTTGTGCAATTTTCTTAATTTGTCCTCTAATTTTGATTACATGGTTGTGAGCTGAAACACAGATAACAAAGAGTGTTGTAGTATCAAAAGCCAGTAGTAAGTACTTCTGGGAAGGCATTTATATATCAATTGATACATTTAATTCTGTAAAATATTTTCATTTTTTGTAATTAATTGAGTTTTTTCTACTTCCAGCCAAAGACGACCTTAGCATATTTTGCACAACTTTTCCCTATTTTCGGTTTTCAATTCTCTTCAATTTGAAAATATTTTAATAATTATGATTCCAGTGGGAGCGATAAGTGTTATGCAGACGAAACGCGCGTCTGTCGTGTCACACTTTAAGCCGCCTGTTATCTTGATCATTTTGAGTTATTACAGAACATGCAGTGATACTAGTAAACCAATCTTATAGGTCAAATTTGAAGGTTAAATAAATAAATTTGTAAGGATTCAAACTGTTTGGATTGTCAGATTCTATTTTTGGCTTAAGAGTCTTACTACATTGACGAAAGCGCTTCCATTAGGTGTTAATGTTTAGTAGATATGCAACTGTATAAGTCGAAAATATAGATATGTTTAACACGGATATTTAACCATTATAGCAAACGCTATTCTGTTTTTTGTCTTTAAAACGATATTTGAAATAAATGAAACAGTTTTGCGCTGCTGTTTTCTGCTGTCTGTTGAATTGATCCTGTGTTCAGCATACATAAAAAAGGAGATGTGGTATGACTGCCAATGAAACAACTCTCCAACAAAGACCAACTGACATAGAAGATAACAATTATAGGTCAGCGCGCGGTCTTCAAAAATGAGTAAACCTATACCGAATAGTCAGCTATAAAAGGCTCCGAAATGACAAATGTAAACAATTCAAACGAGAAAATTACCGTCTGATTTATGAACAAAACAATGAATAGCAGAAACATGATATACAGCAACAAACGGCAACTACTGAATTCCAGGCTCCTGACTTGACTCCGTTAAACCCGCCATCTAACCTTAGACAGTAGTGTAACATTACTATATAAGAACAAACTATAAAAATCAGTTGATAAGGGCTTAACTCATCAGTTCGATATAAAGCAACAAAAAAAAACATCTAATAAAACGACAGACAGCAGCTTAATTCAATGAAATGCAATGCAAACATACACTAAGTCATGCTATATAACAGACATTTACGAACGATTAAAAGAGAATTCAAAGAAAATTAAAAAAAATTAAATAAACATGATAAATCGATTGAACGTTCAATGAGGAAAAATGATTGTTAAATTACAATATTTCTAAAGATATTACACCCTTTCTCGACATTGAACACACGCTTTGACTGGAAGCAAATTTTTGTATTTGCGATTCTTATACCTTTCATTATATGCATGCATCTCACGACATAGGAATCAACACTCACAATTGAATTGGGAATAAGACACAATGGATGAATTACAGAATGAACGATTTTTTTCTGGTATCGAAAAAATGTATACTGCGTAACATACTTTAAAGTTTACCTAGAGTTTACAATTGTTTACTAAAATAGAAACATAGTTCAGTGTATATGGATATCAAAGCAAACGTATCATATGTTAACTTCTGATTATAATTTGCATGTATTTTTGACAATAGAGTGTCATAAGTATTGATTATTGTCTTAAATACCGAAAACATATGTACAAAAAAATGAAAGTCACAATCGAGAATAGAACATCTGTGCTTGAACATTATTACTCAACGTACGTCTGTTTATGTATTTACAGATTCTGCAATAACAGGTTGCTAGTGAGCTGACACACGTCATATTGGTGTAATTTTATTCTCAGTCGTTTGTTCCATAACTCTGATTGACCAGTTTATGTGTGAAGGTCACACACCTGAATATGGTTGAGCGGACAGTATTACTAGAGACGTGTAAACGTCATACAATGGAACAGAAAATATACTACTGCTTAGAAATCGGAAGTTGTAAATGGACGGTTGACATCATCACCTTTGTATTAGATTCTAGTTTGATGTCGTCCATCTACGTCATCATCTAGTAAAAGATCAAGGTATGATACAAACCATATAATACCACGCACACTTGTGCGGGTTATTCATATGGTCATACGTTTATTACCATGTACATTATAAATTGTCTTACCCAATTCAATTTGTTCTGAATTGCAGTGAATATGAGCTTCCTTCGACCTTTCCTGGTTTTTTACATTTTCTACTATTTCGTTTTGCTTTTCAACAAATTTCTCATATCCATCTGAATCTGAAATGATATGTTAAAAGTTTCTATCGATACAAACAATTTGTCATGTTTAATGGTTGAGATAAAGGGACGGAATGATGTAAAAACAGATCACATTTTGTGATAACACTGCAGATCCCTTTTATTTATGTTTCACCGTAATGTTTACAGAACTCAAAAATACTATAATGAATTTTAAATGATATGTTTATACATTTCTTTGTAAATAAAAATTTGAATTAGTTACACTTTTTATTGCCAAAAATACCCTTTGTCAATTAGAGACAGTAACATTTTCAGTTTGAAATATATCTCCACGAAATTCCAAAGAAAATCGATGCTATACATGTGTATATCATATTGGCTCATGTCATTCCCACCTATAAAGGTGCTTTATAGATGTTTTGTCAAATATGGTCTGCAGTTTGGAAAATATGATAATATATAGCTTGCTGAATTAATTAACACAAATAGTCTAGTCTTATATGAGATATACATATACTACAGAAAAAAGATATCTCATTTTCTCCATATCAATTAAAATGAGAAATGGGTATCTAACTATGAACTCCTTTATTATATTTGGTGAGATCCAAACGCCATATCGTTTGTTTACAAGGAATACCATTCTGTTTCAAGTATATTGTTCAGTACCTGATTATCAGGTTGCCTGTATATTGATATTGTAAAATATTAGATGCAAGACACAATCGTGTTCAAAAAGGCTTCATATTGTGTCGAGCAGGTGATATTTTACAATATCAATATGCAGATAACCTGATAATTGATTTATCGGATTGTATTTGTGTATTTGCTTGATAGAAATAAGTGTCTTTCTTTGTTTCAACAGCAAACCTGAAGATGAAGTGATAAGTTCGAATCAAACTTATCAATGTCGGTTCATTCATTATGACGTTGGTGATATGTCCGGGTCAAAGTTATTTAGGCCAGGTCAACATAATTGACGTCACAAAGCCGTGATATGCAGTTTTAAAAAAAACTGAAACAGAGTGTTACAGACAGTGTAAACACCGATTATACCGATGTATATATATAATTTCTGTTTTGGGATTGAAATGTAAATGTGAACGCGAGTGTAAAGGCAATTCGCTCACACGTAAAAAAACAATAATCAACGGATATAGAATGTCATTGTCATAACATGAAATATGACATAACAATAAAAACACCATCCTGTTGTTTTGTTTTTTTTTTTAGAACGAAGGACAATGATCCAACTAACTACAGGACAATCCACCTGAGATGATTTTGCTTTAGTGTCTCTATTGTTGGAAGGAGAAATCCGATCAACAGTTAATCCTTGTATCAGAAATTAACGTTAGTACTAACCATCCCCAAAGAAATGACTGACTATGCTGGTTACATCGGTTTCATCATCTAGTACTATCAAGTTGTTATCCGTTAAAAATCTACCAACAGCAATCCTAATAGCAAAACCTGTTATGTCTGCATGGTGTTTGGTATAATATGCACTCCCGGTCGTTGAATCTGATTGAAATCCTTCTGAAGGATGGTACCCCAGAATTAACATCCAGATGCATGATTTTAATATTGTCATTGTCGTGTTGATGTTTTCTACAATTTCAATTTATAAGTTATTAATTACCTTGTTCAAACATATTCTACCTTTTACAGATTCCAGAGAACTTAATCGGTTGCACAACGTCATGTGTTGACCGTGTTTATCTAATTAATATAGTGTTTAAGTGTTATTGTTCCTGACGTTACCCGATATGAGACAGTATCTGTTAACCATCAAAAAGTAAGTGTATTAAATAGTCATGTTTGTGCAAGTTTCACATAGACAGTACACTATAAATAGTAGAAAGTGCAAAATTATATCTTATCCTTCACATATTCCATAAATTTCAATTGGTTTAGCGATGTCACGTGCTAACCGCCTACATGGCCTAAATTTGATACATAAAGTGTACAAAGCTAATGTTAAAAGGAAAGTAATAGATATTTATGTTTGTGTAGGTATCTGATAGTCGGTAGGATATAAAAAGCATTTCTTAAAATTTATTTCATTTTAAAACGTATTCATGCATTTACTATTCAACGAAAAAATCTTAACCTTATTTTATTTTCTTAAATTCTCTTTTGTTAACGTTTTAAACCGGCAACTTATTTACCTTGTATAGGTCTTCGCGGAAAGGTTCTATTTACTACAAATTATTCGAGCATGACTGATGAGACTAAACGACTTGAAAATTATTATGATAAAATGCCCTCGTTTACAATTTCAAATTAAAGTGGATTGGGTTGTTATTCTCCAGTAAAAAAACAGACTCTATTAGAGTGAAAGTCAAACCTTTTCGGAACCTGAAATTTCAGCAAAGCTGAAAATTGTAGTACGACATACATACATATCTTATTGTACAGTAGAAGGTCTTTTGCGTTTCAAGCTTGTGATGTATACGTTATTCCTCTTTTCAAATGTACCATCTCAGTTTGACTCTTGATTTTTTTTTTAGGTCTTTTGAAGCAATCAACCGAGCAGCTTCATTTAGTTTTAAGTCTTTAGTGGTTAATTTTCTCAATAAGATGTCCGCATTTTAGATGTTTATTTTTTGTTAGTGGGAGTCTAAGGAGATTTGACAAGTTTGAATTTGCATTTAAATTTAGTGGTTCTAAGATTTCTACAATATCAAGGATCCTACATATGATAACTGAAGGAGACACATTTACACCGTCGGATTTAAACAGCTATTGGGAATTTGCATTAAAACTTTTTTACACGATAAACTTATTGTGTAATATATCAAGATTTACCTTACCTTACCTACGAGTTGAAAGTATTCAATCAATAGAAAAGTTAAACAAAAAACACACACTGTCTCTGTTATACCACTTGAAAATAAATTAGTAACTAAATTTTAATAATAAAATTTATCAAAGTTAACAGGCTAATGATTTGGTACGCCAATCGCGCGTTTTGTCTACAAAAGACTCATCAGAGTGGCTCGAATAATAAAAAACACGAATAAAAAGGAGAATAAAGTATTATTGCAGATAATTTACATTTCTACTTCTCTGCTTGAATTGTTCGTGTGCAGGTGCGTAGTTTCATGACACAAAATATAATATGAGAGCGTTCTTTGAAGACACATACTCTGGTTTAGAACATGTTTGGCAAAAGATGAGAAAACAAAACTGACGGACGGATTGGGGCATTCTTTATTTACTGGAATGTCAAAAATTGTATGTCCATGTTTGAAAGAGGTTATAGGCACAGCTATACACAAAAAAATTATTTAATTATAAAAACCGAGGAAACTGCACGTAGAAAATCCTTCGTTGCTTTAAGTTTCATCATATGTTTATAGAAATCCTTCTACTATTTGATAATTTAACAAAGCAATGCATTTAGGTCAAGACAAATGTCTGAAAGTTACCACAAAAACATGTACATGATGTATGTATTGAACATGACAAAGCTTTAGGTAATAGGAAAGGAACGGTTCACACAGCATGTCGATACTATTTGTACTAGTACACAATGAAGAGTCTGCAGACACTTTTTGCAAAACTATTTCTAGTTTAGTAATAATGTAGATGATGTATTCCAACAACAAACGGATATATTTTGGGACAACTTATATGAGTAGAGTGCATTAACTAATGCGGTATTTTTTTAAGGAGTGCAATTTCTGCAAAATGAAGATAATACTAGTAATATGGACATACTATACAGATATTTTACCAATATTATACACGTTTTAACTTTATTTTGTTTCTAATTCATTTCGAGTTAAAATTACATTAACATTTACTAATAGTTATATACATTTATGGCAGAACAAGAAGTTTAAACTAAGAGTGAGGTGTGTATTTGTTTTGTATGCAGCACAATAATTTATAGTTTTAATTTATGACCTACAAATTGTCAGATATGACAGTATAGTTATATAACTACATATTTGACAATTCTAAGACGTGACGTTTAGAGGTTTAAACATAATATTTCTATTGTTTAATTTTCATGATATACGATTATAATGAACTAACCCAGATCGTAGTAAACACGCAAAAAGACATCAACATGACGGCCCAACAAATAGCTCGTTTCAAATATTTTTGTTCTATAAAAAGTAAAATGGAAAATCGCTTTTAAATGATATAAAAATTATCACGAATTAACAACAAACTAGGAATTGAAATCCATTGTTTTTAAAAACCGATGTAAGGTTAACAACTATGAGACAGCAACCTTTCGACTTTAATAACTAAAACGCATCTTAAGATACTCACTAAGCAGCTGTCATATCATGTCAATTTGAATTCTGTGGATGCGCGCAAATAGCATTGGACTTATTTATAATTGTACAGACCTCGATTACATTTCCTGTTTAGTTAGTTTAGTCTTTAGTCACGCTACATTAAATGTGTCCTTTAAAAGTCATATATTAACCTAAATTATCTGACATACTTTGTGACGATATTTCCAGGAAAACATTCTATTTACAAAATTCATGATATTGCAAAAACCAGATTTAATACTTGGAATTTATCAGGAGTTCTACATTCAAGGAAAATAACACATTAAAGTATATATATGAACACGTTCGGAAAAGGTTTAAAATCTTTGCTTCATATCGCCTGTAGCAACAGTTTTTTTTTTTTGTTTTGACAAAAAAACTTTAAACATTTGAAAAATTTGAAAACTGATATAGTTTATCTTAGTTTAAATCTATATACCCCCTTATTTCGCAACTTTGTTACTTTTAGAAAGAAACTTAGAAAATTTGTATAAACTCCACTTTTGTATTATATATATCATGTATATTTATATCCTGTAGGTATTTGGTTTCAAGGTTAAAATAAAGTAATCATTTACATAATCCACAATAGTAGCCTTTTGGGTCCTGCGTTTTTACTATAAAAGAATTGTTGATAAAACTGCCAAATTCTGAACTATCAACACCTCTGGTGTGAATAAAACTGCAAAACACATCTGGTGACGCAGCTTTTTTGATAGAAAAATGGCATTTTTCAAGGGTACTCTATGGTTCTGGAATTTTTGAAAGAGTATGAACAAAAAACACCCCTTGCTTAATTTTGCACAAAAAATGTTGCTCGTCACACAGAGTTTCGTCCAAATTTCTCGCTATTTCTACACCGAAAGCTTACACTCGTTTCTAACTATTTCAAATTTGTTTTCTAATTAACAGGGCAGTAGAAAATAGATTTACTTCTACCTATTATCTTGGATGTAAAAACTAGGTGGGACTAGTCATCTTCAATTACTTCCTTTTAACCTGCAATCTAATTGATAATAATTTTTGGTAAGAAATTAACAAAGTTAAAAAGAAAATGAAATTCCAAACGAAATGTTTATCTTTATTTACATATTGTATTTGTCGTCTACAAATGATTATCCAACGTGCAAATATTAATCGATTGATTTCAATAAAGTAGATTTTGTTGTATTAACGGTTATAAGCCCTTTCCACATGTCTGTCGAAAGAACTTTTGATTCCTTTCTGGTTGTTTATTTTTCTCTCCGACAACATGTCGTTTTTGTTCTCAAGTCGGTTTCTGAAACCATTTCACATTTGTTTTGCAACACATTGATAAGATATTTCATATATAATATGGAACATTTACTTTTTGGAAGGTACCCCGTTTAACACTTTGCAGGAGTTATTTGAAAAGAAAACACTGATTATACTTGTTCTAGCTTCTCCTTCGTTTGCACAAAGCTATCGCCAAACTGCCATTTGTAAATCGTTCGTTATATGATCAGAATGGTTTAGTTAATGTTACAGAAATGATGAAGCGACACTTTAAAAGAGTTGTTTTCCCCCTTTATCTTTAGAAATCGATCTGTTGATGTTAAAGAAAGGCGAAAATTACCAAAATGAGTTCCAAAGTCGAAAACAAAAGGAAAATGCCGTGACGAAAAATAAAAACTACGAAAAGATAAACAACCGTACACAAAACACAACATGGAAAACTAAAGACAAAGCAACACGAACCTCACACAAATCCGGGAGTGATCTCAGGAGCATCGGAAGCGTAAGCAGATCCAATCCGCATGGGGCACCCGTCGTGTTGATCATATATGAAGCGAATATTAAGTAATTCACACTCAAGGAACAGAGGACGAGATCATGGTTACCAGAATTGTAACTTATGAGCGGTCAGTCTTTAATGTATAAGAACTTTTGAATTGAGTACCTTAGTCCATAACTTTGTAATGTCGGTCAAGATCATGTTCGAAATTGTAATATTAGGTTTGTTAGCACCTCATTCGAAATCTAAACAGATACGTACACAAGATTATCGTTTGATATGAAATGCCTGATTTATTGAGAAGATGGAAAAATATTAGGATGGATTAGTCCGGTAACGTCTTATATTAGTTATTTTCCCTACAGTGTTAAAATTTATATGTATTCATTGTTACTTCAAATTGAAATATGACGAATCTTTTTGGACTTTTGTACAACAAGCACACATATCTTGGGTCCGTACCTGGATTGAATTAATACGTCTATTATTAATGCGATTGTTGTATATATTTATACCTGACACAGAGGGTATTTTTCTATTAAATTATTTCTATTTAAATCAACGTTGTTTGCGTAAGAGCACTTCCAAATCTCAAACATATCACAATAATGACATGACAAGGATCACCCTCACATCCTATCAATATTAAATTTAAATCAATACTTACATTATAAGAGAAATACAATTAACTAAAACCACAACTGTATGTTTTTGGTATATTGTCTAAATGATAATTCCGATACCTTGTATCAAAGATAACGTCATATGACAGTGAACAAAAAAAGTAAACCCTTTGTTATATATTGTTTAACGTATTGTTAACTGAAATGAGATATTCAAAAATTATTGGATCATTACCAAATGACTTTATAGTTTTGTGCCATTTAATACACTATACATTACAACGTGTCTTTATGAGGATGAAATGTTTCCTTGTTAGGGAATTATAACTGCACTGCTCAATCGGTATTTTTGTACGAAATTGTCTAATTAGTTTTTCTTTAATTTGTGGTCAACACTATGTTCTTAAAGACATTAAAAATGAAAAAAAAAAGGATTTTACCAAGTTAATATGTTAATTGGTCAGCCATTTCATCTTTCGATATCTGTATAAATGCTGTTTCATTCTTTTGAATCGAATCAAGATGTCAAAAATTGTACATGTAATAACTGAGAACTGATATAGAAATAAGAAGACGTAGTATGAGTGCCAATGAGACAACTCTTCACCCAAGCCACAATGTGTTTTGAATGAATGATGATATGATGGATACTGCTATGAAATAAAGGGGGGGTTGAACTCCTAGCTACACATTTTACACAAACAATCACATGTTCATAATCCAGAATATTGTTATAGGTGAAATTTTATAAAATAGGATAACTCAATATGTGAAAAAATGTTTAAGCTTTTTGAATTACAGGTAACATTTTTATTTTTTTCTGTTCTAATCGTGTGTTACGGTAAAGATAATAAATCACCCAGTTCATCTATAAGATATTAGTTTGGGTCAACTAAATTTATACGTGTATTTGGTTTACAGTTTGATTTAGAAGAAATACCGACATAGCTTGATAATACAATTAATATCTAATTACTACCAAAATTTTATATTAATAAGTATTGTAATTTTCATTGTTATAAGTGCATGTTATATCATTATTACAAACCTTATCTTGTACTCAATCCTATTTTTTGGAAATTTATAGAAATTTAAATGTGACGTCACATTGTGCGTCGATTTCTTCGGCTAACATATAATAAGTTGTTCGGCTGTGCCTTTTTTATGTGCTGATTTAGGTTGTTTTACGTATTCGTTTTTATTCTGTAGTTAGTCACCACATTGGTGTTAACATGTATATCTATTATATAGTCATTTTTATAAATTTACTGTTTGCAAAAGTATGAATTATTCTAAATACTACGGATTTTCTTATCCCAGGCATATAACCTTAGCCGTATTTGGCACAACTTTTTGGAACTTTTGGTCCTCAATGCTCTTCAACTTTGTACTTGTTATGGCTTTTGAACCTTTTTTGATCTGAGCGTCACTGGTGTGTCTTGTGTAGACGAAACGCGCGTCTGGCGTATTAAATTATAAACCTGGTACCTTTTGATAGCTATTACTTGTGTGTGTGTCTGTCCTGTATGTTCTCCCATTTATTTGTATTGTAGTCCGGTCATGTAATTGCCATTTTAATGTTATATTTAACATTGTCATAAAAGCGGGAGGTTTGGCTAGCCACAAAACCAGGTTCAACCCACCTGTACCAAGTCAGGAAAATGGCCATCGTTATATTATAGTTCGTTTCTGTGTGTGTTGCATTTTAGTGTTGAGTTTGTTCTCCTCTTATATTTGATGTGTTTCCTACAGTTTTAGTTTGTAACCCGGATTTGTTTTTTTCTCAATCGATTTATGAATTTCGAATAGCGGTATACTACTGTTGCCTTTATTAATGATAACATTCTCTTAAAAATCAACCCAATGGTCCCCTTTTGTAGACCCTATATTGAAACTAATGCAAACACTGTACTGAACAAATAAGAAATACAATATTTGATAACAGGAGTACAATGCGTAGTTTGTTTTGAAACTATTCGTGACATCTGAATAGACGTTTCTTATGCATATAGTCACTTGGTCTTAAACTGTAGAAATATTTGTAGATCTTGATAAGCCACTCATGTGTTATGCTACAACTTTCTTTTAACTATTCTTGTTCTCAAGAAAATACCCTTTAATGCAAAAAACTGCAAAACTCATAAACCAAGGGCAATTCCTCTGATGATGACAATTAGGTCGTGTTGACTGAAATGTAGATTTAAAGCTAAAATTTGTATTTCAAGCGCAATAACTACTTTAAGAAGTTATTCAACATTTTTGGTCATGATAACTGGTTTGTACATGTTTATGATGATGATTTTTAATCACAATTTGTTTTTAGATAACTGATAACAACAATACAAATATTCGAAAATCATTATAATAGGCTTCACGAAAAACAGAGACTGAAGATACCAAGTAGGCAAATAAAGCTCGTAAGTCGAATAGAAACTGGCAGCTCAATGGGAATCAAAATGAAAAACGAGGAAAAGACAAACAGTATAAAATAAAGAGCAATTAAGGTCACCTTACGGCCTTCAACAATCAGACACGCTCATGTCGTCTAGTCGGCTTTAAAAGGCAACGATATGAAAAAATGAGAAACAATTTAAAGGAGAACAAATATGACAGACATTAACTAACGTCAACCGATGAACTACATGCTCTTGACTGAGGACAGGCACATGAAGAATGTGGCGTCGTTAAACGTGTTTCTGAACGCTCAACACAAAAAACTACCAAGAAAACTTGAAAATAAACAATATGAATCATAAGAACTAGGGATGATCTCAGGCACCCCGGGAGAATCAGCATATCCTGTTACACTAGTGGCACACATCATGTTGCTAATGGTAAGTACTAAGTTGTAGAAAAATTTAATTTTATGATATCATAATCGTGGAAAAGAGGACGGGGTTTGGGATACGCAAATGGAATATATCCGTGGTCATCTGCGACGCTGATATGTCAACCAACTCGTGATTGCGTCCCTTACATATTGAAAAGAACACTATATAATTGCATGCGTTCGAAGCGCTTTCCTGGATTTGCCTTCATGAGGAACGCTCAAAGCTGAGTATTTCAAACCGAAACAGTTGAAGAGCTATATGAACAAAAAGGACCTAACAATAATAGCCAAATTATCTAAGTACAAATTTGCCTGAGGGAGTTGAAGCCTTAGTTTCTTATGAAGGGATGACTTTAAATTTGATACTTATAGCCTTTGGTTCTGTCGCTTCCTAGAAACCGTTTGTAAAATTAACTCAACTGTGAGAAATATATTTCCAATGGAGACGCACATGAAATATTGCTACATAGAAATAGAAAGGACTTGTCTTATTATTTGTCGGAAAAATGGAAAGTATATATATATTGTTTTTCTGAAGGTGGTTTTAGAATATAAAATAATAACATGCATTCAAGTGTCATTTCCTATTTCTAACTTTGGTGGTCATGTTGATTGATTGGCAAGAACACAGATTACTATGCTAGATACTCTAAAGAGTATTCTGTCAAAGGTTGGTTTGAATTGGTCAACTGGTTTAAGAGACGAAAAATTTAAAAAAGAAACTTACGGCGACAAAAGACGACGTGTAACAAATATATTTGGCAATACCGCACCATACGCATTGGGTATGATGACTTTTAAACAAATCAGCTAGTATGCAAGAACGTACGTTCACATGCAACAAAAAATATGTACAATGTACTGTTTCACAACCATACAGGAAGACGAGGTGAAGGCAGTATTTGGCGATTTGAAGCTGATATGGTTGAGATGTTTACGGCATTTGACCCAGGTCGGGGGATTTGTCATGATTTCACATAAGCTTGGGTTATAATCCTTCTGAGTTAACAACTTAAATTTGCAGATCAAACAATGCCAGACTAAATTTTTATACAAGGCTTCTATGAATATATCCATGTATAGATTAAAAACAACACCGTCAGTTCATTCTACATTATATTTAAAAATTATTTGACCGAATTTATATACATAATTCTTGTATAATGTTACACTTTAATATCTTCTTACATTTCTTCTTGTCGTTAAAATATACATATTCATGAAGAAAAACTTCCTTGGATTCACAATGTTAAGTATCATAGTTATATAGATTATTTCCTTAGAAGCTTCGTTTTTTATTGCCTTAGGTAATAATCCCCGTCATGTTTTATCAGCTAATTGTTATTTATAGGGCATTGATAATAACTATAGTTTCATAAACATAGAAATTGATGTTTTTTGTTTGATTTTTGTAACACGTATACGTTTTAATCCAATGCAAAAAAACTTGTTGAATACAAAAAAATAAGATATTATTTTTTATGTATATGAAAAACACGAGATGTATTGTAAACGCCGTTGAGACAGTCGACTTACCATAAAAAGAACTATACAGGGACAAATATCTAGTTTTCATTTTGATATCATTCCTACCCCTTTTTCAATCTCGATCAGTGGATAAATGAAACGTACACGAAAAAAATATTCAATAGAAAACTGTAATGTAAAATTAAAAAAAAAGTACATATATATTAGATTTCCAGATGATAGACATAAGTTATACTTTACGTACATGTTGTACATACGGAGTTATTTTTTCAGTTATTCTGATTAACGGGACATAACCTAATTTAAATCATAACATGTCGTCCTTACAAATGTATTATGTGTATTCCTAAAAGGTATGATACGTCAGAAAAGTACGACCAATTTCAAAAGTGCGGATGACTTATTGAACTTTGCAACTGAGTTTTATAGTTTTTTCTGATGTTGTCCTAAATATCAATCTCCCAAATAAGGGGAGGGTTACTATTTTGCAAATACGTTAAAATTCAATTTCAGGAGCTTGTAGTTTAGATGTTGTAACTTGTTGATATCAATCATATTTGTGTTCCGTTTATTGTTGTTAAAGTAATAAGTCCATTCGTTTTCCGCTTGAACTGTTTTACATTTTGTCACGCCTTTTACAGCTTACTTTACGGTGTGATATTTGGTAAAATCGAACGTACGCTGCACTATAGTTGCTTACATCCACATCAGTCTCTGGCGGACACAGTCATAACTTGGTTGACACCTCCCACTTATACCAAACCAAATTACACCTTTCAACATAAACAATCACAGCATAAAAAAACCCCATTTCCCTTTCCTCTTTGAATCAAACACAACTTAGAAGATCATATTATGATTACCAATA